ATTGCAGTAACTCTGGCTTTTCTAATTGGCAGAATAAATCAGCTCTTAAAACAACAAACACTACGGACAACACTGTAATCAAGTTAGCATTCAAAACACAATGGAGAAAACCAGAACCTAATTCCTGGAATCACTACTTTCCCCTAGTATTATTTTAAAGAATTAAAGTTGCAGAAAGAGAATCCTGCCTGTTGGATAATGGGATTGGCAGCATGAACTACATGTTCTGGATTCGAGATATGGAGTTCATACTTTAAGTGCTTCTGTGTTTGATTACTGCCAAGTAGGTTGATTATGTTTTTTGTAAGCTGTGAGTACACAGCGATTGTTTTTAACAACTTTATTACATAATGCAATATGGAAGGCGCTTTCAGAAAGTGCTTAGGCAGCGTAACTGGGAAGTTCCCGTGTCTGGGGAAAATACTTTGTGATCATTTTGTACATTTTTGTGCTTTTTTGCTTTTGTTGGTCTGCGTGTTGTTTCTCTAGTGTTTGATCTCAATCTTGAGGGACTAAGGGTCTTCCTCAAATTCAAACTCATTCTTAGTATGAATGAAAGATAATTTTTTTTATTCTAATAACACTTTTGAAGTAACATTGTCACTTGTTCCACTGCCACAAACTGGTAGGAATAAAACAATTATTTTGGTTACTTAAAATATTCATAACCCAAGTGGAGAAGACATAATGAAACAGTCTTCCCAGCTTATTTCATAAGGTGGTCCATCCTGGCTGAAAAGGTTCTTTATAGTCTCATGCACCACGGTAAGTGCATGTGAATGTTCCTAGGATTAAATAACTCTGCTGTTGCATGTCTGCCTTTATTTTCCATGTGTCTGAATGGCATTTTATTGAAGCATATCTATTCTGGAAGGTTTAGAAAAGGGCACCTTTCACTGACTAGTAATGCTGATGACCCTGTTAATCTAAAAGGGGTTTCCTACCAGCAGATCTAAAGAATAGGATATGTAACACATGATCAGTTGGAGAAGGACTGGAGTGTTGTTAAGGATGTGATTTCTCTCCTGACTTGAAGATCCTTGGGGCGGGGGGGGGGGGGGGGGGGGGGGGACG